TGATACAACTGTTGCAGGGATTTCAAGCGGCAGTGTTATCAACATGTTTTATTTAGGAACATTTCATCAACATGCATTACGACTCACATGTGAATGGCTTCAAGTTTGAGTTCCCCAAAGGAATGCCATACTACAATAAAAATAGGATGAATCTAATATCGAAGGTAATATGGTGTTACAATTAAGATACCATAAACATAAGTGAATATGTTGTAAATTATTTTAATAAATCCACGTCATGTTTAAAATTTGGTGATTTCCTTCTGTTCATCTAAGCATTTACTTTGAATTTTGCTGCCGCTGGGGCTGCTGCATTCGAAATTGGGGAATAAATTTACAGGAGTGCGACAACACGGAATGCCCTTCCGGAGCGAATAGATATGACAAGAAATGCAAATGCTTCTTCCATTTAAAACACAAATTGAACAACATAGTGCAGGTAAGCGACTATCACTTCAACACAGCTTTTACACAATATCAATTATGTACTGACACGATGTTTACCTGGGACAGATCAAGTCTCAAATGGCTCAACAACCCCATATTCTCTAAACAAAAATTTTGATTGCTGTATAAGTTGCGCAAAGTTTTCAACAATTTTTTAGGAATTTTATCTTTGCGAAAACGCGTTGTGATGCGTAACATGGTGCATATAGCAACTGATCCTAAGAATTCATCGGTGATGCTTGTCGATGGCCATTCTGGAAGACAAGCCTGCCTGTTGCGCACTTGGTGCTATAGATTGCTAACCTGATGCATTTCCTAATTTGTGCGTAAAGGGAACGAATGACGCTCAAAAATCTTCATCAAATTTTTTTAAAGTTCCTACGAATGTAGTTTATGGGAAATTTAATGAGTAAATACGGCTAATTGTTTTGATATTATTCACCTATTTAATATTTACCACACATCAAAAAAAGATAGGTCAAAGCTGAAAGAGCAGAGACAGAAAGAAACCATGAGCAGAACAGAGGAGAATGAGAAACAGCTGCTCTAAGTTCATATTGTTGATTTTGTATCTTAGCTGAGAGGAACAGCCAACGCATACATGGAAAATCCTTTAATTTATGAACTTTGACTTATCATTTTCAAAGTCCGGCCTGCGCCGGCACCCACAGATGGGGAAGTCTTACTAACGGAGTGATCAATTTTTGGGTGATCGTTTTAGAAGATTATCAAATGCTATACTCTTACGCCATGATGACGCTGAGGTTTGATCTGTAGTCATGAGCAGTGATGTCATCGAGCTTTAAAGCCACCCGAAACAAAGCAACATTTCGTCCTAAGTTCCACACGCATTTTAGCACTGTGGCTCGAAAATGCGGGTAAACATTTGGAAATTTCCTGTAGACTGCGGATAATGGAGTGGTGCCTAGTCTTCCATTCTTTGTCTAGTCGCACCTTCCGTACATTCAAAAACCGCAAAGAGGTCTAGGGATCGAAAAATGATGAAATTTACGTCAGGGAAACTTTGGTGACTACCCAGAAATTAGCAAGCAATTCTGTTGAAGGTATATCTAGCGGTAGATCTACAGTATCAGAAAAACTTTATCCTATTCATTAATTGCAATCCTTAAAGAAAAAAGAGAAGAAATTTTCAGGTGTAATACCTTGAAAAAAGATTAGATATAACGGCAGTGATATTGTTTGATAAAAACATCGGCAGATAGATGACCTGAAATAACAACTCATTGTCTTTGGAAATATTGTTAAATAAGTTGTTCTGCAATAGCACACATGAACATATGCATAAAAAGTTAGACGTCGCTAATGTAGATTTGACCATATCACAAATTTGTTACGTTGTTCAGATAACGATATTCAATATGGGCAAAGGAGGTGGATTTGCCACTGGTTATGCTCATCCGTATCACATTCATGGAACCCATTATCATATTATGAAGGTTCAATGTTAACATTCTAAATTGGAAAAAAAATTCGTAAGCTAGTACTCCTTTTAGGTGGGCTGGCCGAAATATAATGCTAGTGGGATGATTGCGGAGATGAATCCTGATATTGACTGTGATGGAGCTGATGTTAGGGAGACTACTTAATCCAGATTCTCATTAAGTGGAATAAGATAATTTAGACGAATTGCGACGACGTGGTGTGGAGAAATAAAAGTTGGCTTCACGGAGCTGTTGCAGGAATGAACACAAGAAATCCGTCGCTCAGAGATACGGTCACAGTTCCTGTCGGTGGCTACGTTGTTTTGCGGTCAGTTAGCTTTTGTCGAATTCCAAGATAATTGAGTAAATGTGAAATTTACAGGAAAGAAAAATAGAATGAAACACGGCAGATAGACAGAATAGATAGGATTACAAATTAATGAAGACTTTAATCCAAACATGTGAAAAATAGTGATACCTCCTCAGTTTCAGGTTTCGAGCAACGAATCCCGGCTGGTGGTTTGCTCATTGCCATCTGGAACTTCACCATATGAGTGGAACTGCGTATGCCTTCCAGGTTTGGTCTTTGACAAAAAGTACCTCGACAGATATTTGTTTTCGCTTGATTCATCCCTTTTATCTCCAGGTCGGTGAAGACGATGAAATTCCACCTCCACCGGCCAACTTCCCACACGATTGTGGATACTTTAGCATGCCATCCGTAAGTTCTTCCACATGAAACGAAGCAAAAATCTGTTAAGTAGCGTAAACTTACCACACCAATTTGCTACTTCTACAACATACTCTTTGAGCACAGGATATTCATTGAAGTAACTCAGCAGCAAAGTGAGATAAGAACACAGTTATCGTTCCTTTCACTGTCTGCATATTCGATTCCGCTCTGCTAGCTTGAAATTTCGGTCTTTAATTTATAAGAATGACGAAGTTCAGCCTTCGAATTCGAAAATCCCATTTTGCGTTAACACCAGATCATGCAAAAATGGCGATCATTCTTATTGACTATGTCCACATGATATACGCTTACACGTAATTCTCCAGCTCCTGTAAGACAGCTGCAAGAATTTGTTTAATTGGTAAAAAAAATGGTTCTACTCTGTTTATGTTTCGTAATCACCAAGTCAACAATCCCCGTGCAACAATTTTCTGCGCCTTGGTTTGCCAAGCGAATAGAATCATGAATTAATAGAAGCATATAGTTTCCTCATTGAATATCATGATGATAATCGGCATATTAACAAAACGTTGTATTTTTCGGTTTGGCAGTTTTACGCATAAAGTAATCAATCAATAAATTAATAGATAATTTGGTAAAGTGACCTACGTGATCCGCACTG